ACTCATTATTTAAAATATTATACATTACTTTTATTTCTAGGTTTCCTAAGCAGCGCTCTCAAAGTTCGTCATTCATCATAATCATCACCTGAAAATTTTCACAGAGAAAAGAGAAAACAAAAAGAAAATGAAATTAGCTTTCGCTAAGTAAGATTCCACCCAACCCCGTAAAATAATAAAGTTTGGAGAAAATATATATCGTATACATGCAAACTATAGATTGGAATATTATATATTTGAATATTATAATTCAAATAATTGTCATCCTAACAAATAGAGCATTCGAAAATTATTTCAAACGTCTTACAACATATATGTACAATTGGAAAATAATATATAATGACTAGAAAATGTACATTTGCTTTTTCTCCAAAATTTTTAAAGTTTCTTTTAAAGATGGGCAGAAATCAAGATTCCTTGAGCGCAATGAGTTGTTGTTATTTACAACTCATCCCAGAATATCGGCTCCCACCGACCACCTGTTGGAAACTGAACTTCTACCTTAAGTGTGCACACCCCCTAAAAGGGATTCCCAAGTAGCACGAGTGGTTTATACCAGCTTCTCCTCAAAAGGATATTTTCCTTGAATGACTAGAAAACTACTACCATGACCACCAAATGACTTTTAAAGTCCTCACAGAAATACTAGAATGCCTATCGGATATTAATAATTAAACAATCCACCAAAAAGCAGTAGTAGCCCCTAACCACCCCTCACAATTAACGGTCGTGAAGGAGACCAACACCACGTGTTTCTCTAGTGATGCCCGCAATTATAAAAAAATAATTTTTATCTTCAATATTTTCCAAAACCCAATATCTATCATGCATAGATAAAATTCCAAAATTCCAAGAATAAGGACATTTTATCCTTATAGCCAGATTTCTCAAAATAGCTCAAAATACGAAATAGTACATAAATAGCTCAAACTCAAATAATATTTGCAATCACAATTCATATTTCAAGTAATCTATAATTTAATCTGATACCAGATACTCAAATAAACTTAAGTAACATTCAAACATAAGTTTACGAGGTAATAATATAATTTTGGTTGACATAGAACTTACCTTAGGATTGTGACCCTTGCTAGATTCTTCTTTTTCGCTCTTCGTAATAATCACCTTTAGTTATTATAAAATTTGCATATTTAGTATTTTATTCTATTTGATAATTCATCTGATTTTAAATAATTGAACTATAGAGTTTGAGATTACTTTGTCCGTTTAAAATTATTTACAATCTTTCTCATGGTTTGACCTATTGATCAAGTAAATAAGATCATTTGTTTTATTTCCTTAATCAGTCAGTTTTATAGTCATTATTATTATTAGAGTTGTTTATTATTAACTAAGCTATATGGTTTTATATTTTCAGGCAGCTCATGAATATTGTTCAGTTCAACCCAGATCATTTCTAAACAATTTCCAGCCCAAATTTTCAGCCCAAATTTACAGATATACTTACGTTCCTGTTGTTGTTTTAATATATTTGGTCTGGAAATTGTTTTAAAATGATTTGGGCTGAACTCGACAATATTCATGGGCTACCTGAAAATATAAAACCATATAGCTTAGTTAATAATTAATAACTCTAATAATAATAATGAACAAAGTAATCTCAAACTTTATAGTTCAATTATTTAAAATCGGGTGAATTATAAAATAGAATGAAATCAATGCTATTTATGATTATTTTTATGGACACTCTCATGAAGGATTATTATGGTAGAATGTCTCATATATAGTAGGAATTATTCTAATGAACTTCAACATATGTGTCTCAATACTACACATATGTAACTTTAAAAATGCTGACTTAAATATTACGTAGTAGTAAAGGGAACACACAAAAACTTTGTCATTATTTCATTTTCATTTACCTCAGTGCCGCAAAGGCTCCCACCTACGGTGGGGTATGGGGGATCAGATGTACGCAGTCTTACCCCTATACTAAAGTACACAAAAGCTTTGTCATTGATGATAATAAATTTAGGGGTTAAAATGAAATACATTTTTAGTGGATAACCGATAACCTTGGTAACATGTTAAAATGTTGACCAAATACCTTTTACATGAAACATGTTAACATATTAACCTTGGAGCATGTTTGCTGATTATATTTTTTGTGGAATAACACATTGGAATAAAACTTGAACATGTGACTTATTCTTTAGGAGATCAGTATTGCTGCCATCACACCACAATATAGTGAGAGCTCATACTCTTTGTTCTTTTAAATGTGGAAAACATCCGTATTGTCCAAAATGCATCCCTTTACTGTATGTAATTCGACTATTAGTGTTGCCTTGAGAAAAATTCACAGCCAAAATCATTTCCGCATCGCACGAGTGAATTACTAACAAAGCATTTTACTAGAAGGAAGGATTTTAACAGAGGTTAGTGCATGCGGAGCAGATGTGTCAATTCACAGATATTCCTTAACACCTTCAGGTGTTAGTTTGTCTTTCCAATTACGGTTGTAATACTAACCAAACATGACTTATTATGTCATGAATATAAACAAAAGTAAGACAATCGTTATCGCGTGTCGATTTGTTGTCAGAAAAAAATCTATTTTTATTGATGATCAACTTTACGTGATGGTGTCAAGAGTAATCAATCGCCAAATGTTAAAAAATCACATTTGTAAACGATGCCAAGAGGAATGATCATTGAAACAGAAAATGATGTGTCTAAAGAAGTGTTATATAAAATTTAGCATATAATGTAATGTTTTTGGAAATTATATTCATACTACATGCCACTTACTATTTTGTTGGGTTATAAAAATTTGTGTACTACTCCATAATCATTGGTAATTCATATTGCATATTTTTCAGTTTACATCAAACATTAATGTTGCACGAAGTACAATTCTAAAATCTAAACGATTCAATTAATTACATGTTTCTTTTTTTTATTTCAAATTTGACTAATTACTTTTTAAGTGGATAACCTTGAAAAAAACTAATTTTCAAAGCTCGATCACAAGTAACTTCTGCTAGCTTCTCTCTCTAGGGCTTTCTGCCGCTAGGGTTTCGATCTTCCGCTATCAGTTTCTCAGAGGAGCGGCCGCCGTAAGGTGGAGTGTTGTTAGGCGGTCCGAAGGTAAGTCCAAAGGTGAGATGCGGTGTTTCTTCCTCGGTGTCGGAAGTTTGCAATCGAGACGCAGAGTGAAGCTCCTGGATCCCATACGGTAGGGGAGACGACGGAATTTGGGACGAAGCAGACATGATTTCTGTCGAAGGATGATATCATAAACCAATATAAACAAATGGCCATTAAAAGGTACATTTTTACCCCTTTAGGTACATTTTTACTTTTTACCACAATTTAGATATGAGGCGTGTGTTAGATGAAGGGTCGTGGTTGTTTGAGAGGAACTTGTTGATCCTAAAAGAAATTGAGGCGCAAGATATCCCTCTACAAATCAGGCTGATTGAGACTGATTTTTGGGTTTAGGTTCATAATGTGGCATGTGGTTTTATGAATGTAGGATCTGCTAGGAGAATTGGTAACTATATTGGAAAAATCATTAGTTTTGATGAAAGCCAGTTTGATGAAAAATGGGGGGCTTATATGCGCATTAGGGTCCGTATGGATATTAGGAGACCCTTAAAAAAGGAGCAACCTTGAAAAAAGGAGGTATTAGTCGGTGGGTGGATTTTAAGTATGAAAAACTTCCAATTTTTTGCTTTATTTGTGGGATTATTGGGCATTCTAATAAGTTTTGTCCAATTGTGTATGAGGGAGATAACATCATTTTTGATAAAAGTTATGGAGTTCATCTTAGAGCTGGGGGTGGGGTGAAGACTAGTCCCACAGAAGGTAACAAATGGCTAGTCCAAGGGTCCTCTAGTACTCTAATGGGAGTACCGCAAAGGAGTGATAGTCAAGCCACAGGTGGTCAGAACCGGAAGGAGGCTACTACGGGAACAAGAACAAGCTCTACTAAGAAAGGGAATTCGGTGAACTCGGAAGAGATGTCTGGAGAGCGTAGAAGAATCTCGGAGGAGAAAGAACAGAAGGATCTAGTTGGAGAGGTCATGGCACTCGATAAGCAAAAAGACAGGGAGGAGGCAAGTCTCGACCAGTAGATCCGCCGGATTATTTGAAGATGCTTGACAGACCGTTCAATTGGCTTATGGCGGTGCATTTAAAGTTGGAGAAGAATTTCTTTATTTATGTTTTTTAGTTGTTGTTTTCTTTAATCAGACTGTTTACTTTTATGTTGTTTCAATGTTTGATTGTAAGACTCTTGCATTAAGATTGAGGGATTGTAGGGCTACTTCAATCATCTATGGCTCATGTAATCCCATTATAGGATCAACGAGTTATATTGTTTGTTTGTGGATGATTAACTCTGAATCTGGTTCGAAGGCTAATGGTTGTCTGTGGTCCTTATATCATTTTAACCTCTTTCGAAATGCTAATGCTGTGATATCAATATAAGTCATCTTCTTCCAAAAAAAGTGGATAACCTTGATAACACGTTAAAATGTTAAACAAATACTTTTTACACGAAACACGTTAACATATTGGGAGCATGTTTGCTCATTATACTTTTTTTGAAATACCATATTAAGATGGAACTCGAACAGTCGAACCGACGACATCCTCTTTGAGAGACCATAAAATATTTGAGGCTCATACTATTTTTTTTTTAAAACACACCCCTTCCTACTTTAAGCTTTTAACTTTTAAGTACTTAATTTAACTAAAAACTATCATTTGAAAATACTCATTTCAAACTAGACTAGTTCAGACTCTAACATTTATAAAATACACATAGATCAGACATATATTAAACTGGATCAGACCGATTAAACCAGACCAGATCAGACATATATTAAACTGGACCAGACCGGTTTAAACCAAACCAGATCAGTTGAAATCAAATTAGAAAAAAACATTTAAGTCAAATTAATAATAACATCCTAAATGTGGAAAACATTCAAACTGTCCGAAATGCACTCCTTTACTGTATGTAATTCGGCCGTTAGTGTTGACTTGGGATAAACCTCACTCCAGAACCCTACGCGTCAAAAGTCTAAATTTTTGCAAGTTTCCCTCCACCACACACCGCTACATCCGCCAATTCCTCTTATTGGATCTTCAAAAGCTTCAATTTTCAACTCACCCTCAGGGAGTCGAGGGATATCTGCAGCCTGTTCAGTTCGAACACTAGTAGTGTGATTCTTTGATTCCTAGGGTTTGAGAGCGAGGGATTAGGCGATGTCCGAGATTGTACTGCGCGACGTCAGTAATGCTGGAATCGTTGTCAGCGACCGCATTGGACGTGATGTTGGAGCTCAAACAGATCTTGAGGAGGGTCTGGAAGCTTCAAGATATGCAAGCCATCCGTACACAACTCATCCCAGAGAGGTAAACCAGAAGCCAAGTAATTTGCACACTCAGTCGGTTGTAATGTGTCTTTAACTGCTCCTAGGTGGATGAACTGTGGAATGTTATTAATAAATAATGGGTTTTTTACAAGAATATTACTAAAATAAAACATATTTACACAAATATGACTATTCATTACTACAATGTGGTGTTGTGGTAACTTAAGCTCAAAACTTGAACATGAATTACTATGATTTCATTACTATTCTAGTCAATAGTCATATTTTTGTAAATCCTCTTTATTTTAGTCATATTTATGTAATAATTTGGTAGAGATAGCTATTATGATCATCAGAAAGCCTGGAAGACATAAATTTTTATTTTAAAATTTTTCCTTCTCCTGTCCGTAGATGAAACAATTTAATCCTCTAGGCCGCTCTGAATGTTTGTCTTAAAGTGTAATAGAAGAACTAGATTACTAGATTGTCAATCTTTTGGCATTTTCCCCCAAACTGACAACCTTTCTATATCCTGTACCAAATACAGAACCATGGTGCATAGTGTTTGGGTGCTCTCTCAAACAGTTACTTAATTTTTTATATATATATTCTCTTCTGTGGTTGAATCATCTTGGTTGTTGTGAGTGTGTATTTAAGCAATAATTGTTTGTGGTGACAATTGACATTTTTTCTTCAATAGCTCATATCATTTCTCAAAACTTGAAAACGAACCATTTTAATTGATTCTAATCTTGTTCGCATGGGTACACATCAAAAAAACCTTTAGTATTTTTTAATGGTTGTATTATTATTACTATTATTATATCAGCAGCATTACTTTTATTTATTTATATATTTACTTGGTATTTACATTAATATATGCTGTTATCTTTATGTTTTTATTTTTTTAATATTCGTAGAATCTCCTTGAAGCATGTTTATGATGAATTTTACTCGTAACTGGGAAGACCATGGAAGAACCATTGTCAAGGGGGATATGGGTGGTTCGGGAAGAATAATTTCAACAAGTTCAAATGGATCGATTAAGTTATCAAACAATGGGGGTGCTACACAAATGTTGTGAACATTAATTCTTACCACATTTCCTAACATTTCTGGCTTTATGTAACCGTTTGTGTTTGAATGTAAAACCATCTTCAGTGCTATTTCTTTTCATGCTGAAAAGGTCAGACTACCCCATTTTATCCCCAGTTCCTTATTTCATCACCCGAGGCCATGGTTCCACACGATTAATTAGATAGAAGTCTTGCATGGTCCAACATTGGTGATAATTTTTCCTAATGATGCATTTATTATTTTATTTTCTCAAACTTTACTCGATTAAGTCCTTCCAAATTTCCCATTATCTTAAAAGACCACTTCCCTTACATCAAGTTCAATTACGGAGACGTTGAGTTATTGACTTCTTTCTGTGGGAAAATGGAAAAGGGATGAAATGTAATTTGTCTTATTTCATAAGTTAGTAATAGATAGTTCTGTGTGAGGGGGATTGATTATAATTAGAATCAATATAATTTTGTAGCTGAAACTTGGTAATATGTGAAGTAATACAGTAACAAATGAATTAATGCTTTGGAGCTGCTGAACTTGCTCATTTTCAGTTTTTGAAACTTTACCCTGTTTTTCACTAATGAAATCTATGGGAGTAATGCAATAAAAATGAAGTTAGACCATATAAAGGAATTGATTTATCTATTACATTGAATGATCTAAAAAATACTTTTTAAATTGTGTTCAATGTAATTTACTTTTCCTTTCATGGTTTTGTGCACACACTACTGTGAGTTGTGACTAATTTTCAAGACATGACATTTATTTTTAAGTCACCTCTTTGGTTTGGGTGTCAAGGAAGTTAAACTCATAAGCTCATGATGTTCTTGTAGTGGCCTCCATCAGTGGAAGTTGTTGATTCATGGGAATTGCCTCCTCTACTAATTGAAAGATACAATGCATCTGGTGGAGAAGGAACTGCATTATGTGGGATTTTCCCAGAGATACGCAGAGCATGGGCATCGGTGGATGACTCTTTATTTCTTTGGCGTTTTGATAAGTGGTGAGTGTAACAATCTTTACTTACAAGTGTGCAATAATGATTTTCTAACAAATCAATAGATAAATTACCAATACGTAATATTACTGCCTCTGCAATTATTGACCGAGTTATTGGCCAGTGAGCTGCGCTGTATATGTCAATGGTACATGCGTATCACTCTTCTGACACTGTATTGGATTAAATGTTGGATAGCACTATAGCAGTCCACACCATGTCCCCTACAGCTAAACTAAAACCCATGGAAATGATGGAATACTGTTGTCTGATGATGTAGTAAATATTCTCTGTTTACAATATGGCACACACACACAAACCTTAATCTCATAAGCTGGGTTTGGTGGCATGAAAATTATAGTGTCATTTAATTTGGTTAGCACTATAAATCCATGTAAAAAAGCGTGAGAAAGTTGTGCTCTGGATGCCCTTCTTATCGCATCCTTCTTACTAAGGAATAATGAGATGATTTACAAACTTGCATGGAAAGTATCATGAGGCGACAGTGATAGATGACAAACTTGAACACAGCCCATGCAATGCATAGGCTTATGATGCAGATGATAAGAACTTAATAACCTATTCAGTTCTTAGAATTTCTGAATTGAGCTCAAAGAATAATTTTGAGTTGGATACTTTCCTTTAGTAGTTTATTTATTATACTCCCTCTTTTCCAGAAAACTTGGTCAAAGTCCTTTTTTAGCTGTTAAAAAAAACATTGCCATTTTATTTTTTTTATTTTTCAAATGAGTAATTTATTGATTTGAGGTAAACCATTAAAGATGCGGCCTTTATCTACAACTATTGATTAAAAATCAATTTTAACAGGAAAGGAGGTGTTTTGATGAGATAATTTAAAACATATCTCTTTGTGGAGGTTTAAGTAGTTTCTTTCTCCTCTGCACAAATCTCAATCATACAGTTTTTACTTTATTATTCTACGTGCAAGTCAAACTTGGCCAAGTTTTATGGGACGGAGGGAGTAGTAATTATGTTATTATTATTATAAATTATTAATTATCATTATACATAATTAAGAAGAAAATATTAATCCTATTTATAGATTTTCTAGAATTTGATGATGAACGTCAGCAACATATTAACAAATTTTCTTTATGAAAATTAATTCCTGTAGATATTCGAAATATACATGACTCATAGATAGGCTGTTTGTGATTTTGAGCAAAATATGGAACATCAGGAATGGAAGTGGCAGCCCCACACTCCCACCCTTACTCAGTTACTCTGGGTGTGCCCCCCTTATATTGGCTCCAAGGAAAGCCCCCCTTATCCTCGGTCATTTTAATGCTTGTAAACATCTTTGTGGGATTCAGTTCACACTAATTGATTAAAAATTGAACTAAATACCAGTGTTGTCAAATGGCAGTGGCAAAAAAATACTCCCTCCATTCCTTAATTAATTTCCTACTTTCCTTTTCGGATGTCCCACAATAAAGTTCCTACTTCTCTTTTTTGGTAATATGAGTGGCAAAATACTAGTTTACCCTTATTAAAAGTACATTATTAATTAATAATTTTCTCTGTCATTCTTTTTTAGGAGGGCATACTTGGAAAGTCAATTTAAAAAGTTATTTTGCCTACTTTGTGTAGAAGTCAAACTAGGAACTTTATTGTAGGACAGAGGGAGTAGCAGACAGCATGATATTTTGCTTCCATTACTGCTATTCTTCACAAATTTCACATAGTAGTCTGCTATTTTGCTGCCATGTGGCAGCACCGTGTGTTGTTTTCTACATTTCTAGATAGATGATATTCTCTTCTTTCATTGAACAAATTTTAAAGTTCAATAGATATGTGATGATTATAAATTGGATTCTAAACATACCTCAAACCCAGTGTCCATGAGTTTGGCCATGGAGCTGCGAAGTAAGTTGATTTGAGTTTACGTGAAGTTCCATCTCTCTGTACCTGAGTGTGTGCTTTTAATTCAAATGTGATATACCTTGATCTGGAGCTTTCTTTGTGTTTGTTTCCTCATTATGATTTGAATTCCTCTTTATTTAAATTCAGGGATGGTCAGTGTTCTGAATATAGTGTTGATGAACAAGCTATATGTGCAGTTGGCTTAGCAAAAGCCAGACCAGGAATTTTTGTTGAAGCTATCCAGTATCTTCTAGTATTGGCCACTCCTATTGAGGTAATGATTGCATTTCTTATCGATTATCTCGCTATTATTATTGTATCTCAAAGCCTAATTTTTTGTAGATCTTTTAGTTTGCATTTTCATTGTATCTCTCTGTACTTGATTTAGATGTTTGCTGTCAATGCTAGAAACATTGCATTACCTTTTTTATTTTCTAATTTGCTCAGTCATTGTTACAAATATTCCACATACTCTGTTGTATCAACTCTATTCATATATTGGACCACCCAGTTCAATTCTTTAGTTAGAGAGCTACTCTATTGATCACCCGCCTCATTCCTTAGCCTTCTAGGGTACCACTTATTAACACCTTAACTGGGTGTCTGGGTCTGGATTGAGGCTTAGTTCACTTGAATAAAGTCTAGTCTTATAAATAAGTAACAAACTAACAACTATTGGCTGTGTTTTTCATGATCTTTGTCGAATAACTATAGAATAGGTCAATTAGTTACACGTTGTTACTATAAATTAGGATTAAGTTGTAATTAATTATTGTAAATCTTATCCCTTCTTTGTAGGATCGGTTGTTGTATTGTATTATAAATATAACACTCAATGAAAGAAGTAGTCAGACGGCTAATCATTTTAATCTTTATGGTATCAGAGCCGCTAACCTAAAAAGAAAAAAATGGTCGATCCTCAGATCAACTCTGAACAGTCGAGTTCAACGAGTGATTCCTCTCACTCGATTGGATCCTCTTCCTTCTCCAATTCTGAGCCTATTCAAGGCTTGTCGGTAACTTCCCATAAACTCAATGGCAGAAACTTTCTTCAATGGTCTCAGTCTGTCAAACTTTTCATTCAAGGGAAGGGTAAATTTAGTTATCTCTCCGGTGATGTCTCCCAACCATCAACTTCCGATAAACTCCATAATAAATGGGAGGTAGAAAATTCAATGGTGATGTCATGGCTGATCAACTCCATGGAACCTGATGTTGGCCGTACTTATCTCTTTCTTCCAACTGCTCATGACATTTGGACAGCTGTGAAGGAAACCTATTCTGATGAATCTGATCTCTATAGTGACTATAAATGGAGTTGTTCGGCTGACAATACTATGTTCCAAAAATGGTGGAGAAGGAGCGAGTATTTGATTTCCTTGCAGGTTTAAACAAGGAATTAGATGAAGTTAGAGGCAGATTGCTGGGCCGTCATCCGTTACCAAACACAAGAGATGTCTTTGCAGAGGTCCGCCGTGAAGAAAGCAGGCGGGCAGTAATGCTTGGTCATAACCCAATAAACTCCGCATCAGAAATCTCAGCCTTGGTGACTCACAGACCAAAGCTAAATTCCTCGCGGCCACCACAACGGGGTAATCGACCTTTCTGCGAGTATTGTCACCGTGTTGGTCATGTCAAAGCAAAATGTTGGATACTACATGGAAAGCCTGATGATACTTCACAAGGTATCAAAGAGAGTAAAGGTCTCCATGTGTTTTCTGAAGAAGCCGGTGCATCTCAACAAAATGAACAGTCCTATTTCTCCAAGGGGCAGCTAGAGCAATTGTACAAACTTTTCAACTCTCATCAGCAATCTTCTCCAGATCCTAAACCCTCAAATTCATCTTCATCTCTTGCCCAGTCAGGTATAATTCCATCTGCCCTAACAACCACAATTGAAAATTCAGACTCTTGGATCATAGATTCAGGAGCAACTGATCACATGACTAGCTACTCTTATCTATTCTTTTCATATACTCCTTGTTCTGGTCATCAGAAAGTAAAAATTGCAGATGGTTCCTTCTCATCCATTGCAGGCAAAGGATCTATAGTTGTCTCTTCCTCACTCACTCTTCTTAATGTTCTTCATGTCCCTAAACTCTCCTGCAATCTTATCTCTGTCAGCAAACCATCAACTGATAGTAATTGTACTCTTAAGTTTGCTACTAATGGTTGTATATTTCAGGAGCTATCTTCGGGGAAGATGATTGGCAGTGCTAGCGTTAGACCTATTGTTTTTTCTGATGAAATAATGTTATGGCACTATCGTTTAGGCCATCCCAGTTTCAGTTATTTGCAACATATGTTTCCAGCATTATTTCAAAATAAAAGCATGTCTTCCTTTCAATGTGAAGTGTGTCAATTAGCTAAACATCATAGATCAGTTTTTCCTTCTCTAAAGTATATTCCATCTAAACCATTTGCTCTTGTGCATAGTGATATTTGGGGACCAGCACAAGATAAAAATATTACTGGTACTAGATGGTTTATAACATTTATAGATGATCACACTCGAACGACTTGGATCTATCTCCTAAAAGAAAAATCTCAAGCTGCATCTATCTTCAAAAAATTCCACTCAATGATTCACACTCAATTTCAATCAAAAATTCAAGTCCTTAGGACAGATAATGGTCGTGAATACTTTAACTCTGTCCTAGGGGATTTCCTTACTCAAGAAGGAATAATTCATCATAGCTCTTGTGTCAATACCCCTCAGCAAAATGGCATAGCCGAACGAAAAACAGACATTTATTAGAAGTTGCTCGTTCTCTCTTATTCTCTATGAATGTCCCTAAGAAATTTTGGGGGGAGGCAGTTCTTACTGCATCATATCTCATAAATCGCATGCCAAGTCGTGTCTTAGGTTTCTCAACACCATTACAAACTCTTCAATCCTGTTTCCCACTCAATAGGTCATTTACTACTCTACCCACCAAAGTGTTTGGCAGCACAGTTTTTGTTCATACTCATGCTCAACAGAGAAGTAAACTTGACCCGAGGTCTAAAAAATGTCTCTTCCTTGGGTTCTCTCCTACTCAAAAGGGTTACAAAGCTTTTGATCCACACACGGGTAAAAAGTTATAGTGAGTATGGATGTCACTTTCTTTGAAAATACTCCTTTCTTTTCCAAAACTGATCTTCAGGGGGAGAAAGATATTATACTTGAAGATCAGCCAGTCGTCCCTACTGAATATGTCCTACCTAATCCGGTGATTCCTGCTGAAAATGAACATGTTCCGGTAACACTGTGTCCCCAAACAACTTCCCAGTCTATTCTTCGGGTTTACTCCAGGCGTCCTCGTCAAGGGGTGACACCAACACCTTTGCTAGCACCATCAACATCTGATCCGATTACAATTCCAGGTAATTCTAATATTCTTGAGTCTGATTTTGTTCCCATCACTGATCCAGATCCCAATCTCCCCATTGCCCTTAGAAAAGGTACTAGAGAGTGCACAAAACACCCAATCATCCATCATTTATCTTATGCTAATCTTTCCTCTAGCTATAGAACCTTTACTACAAGTATTACTGATGATGAGATTCCTAAGTCTATACATGAAGCTCTAGCTATTCCTAGCTGGAAAGAGGCAGTTCTAGAAGAAATGCGTGCTCTTAAAAAGAACAACACATGGACACTGACCAAACTTCCTCCAGGCAAACATACTGTAAGTAGTAAATGGATCTTTACGATCAAATATAAAGCTGATGGAACAGTGGAGAGATTCAAGGCACGGCTGGTTGCTAGGGGTTTTACACAAACATACGGAATGGACTATGAAGAAACATTTGCTCCCGTGGCAAAACTAAACACAGTAAGAGTCCTACTTTCGTTAGCAGCAAATCATGAGTGGCCTTTACATCAATTTGATGTGAAGAATGCATTCCTTAATGGGGAATTGAAAGAGGAAGTTTTCATGGAAATACCACCAGGTTTTGATGATTATAACACAGTGGGAAAAGTGTGCAGGTTAAATAAGTCATTGTATGGCTTAAAGCAATCTCCAAGGGCATGGTTTGAGAGGTTTGCAAAGACAATTAAACAAGAAGGTTACACTCAGTCACAAGCTGATCACTCATTGTTTTACAAACACTCCTCAGATGGAAAAAAATCCATTCTCATAGTGTACGTAGATGATATTGTAATGACAGGTGATGATGTTGCAGCACTAGAGAAACTGAAACAACTTTTAGCCACACAATTTGAAATCAAAGACCTTGGAAATCTGAAATGTTTTCTAGGAATGGAAGTGGCAAGGTCAAAGAAAGGGATAGCTCTTTCCCAAAGGAAATATGTCCTAGACTTGCTCAAGGAGACAGGCTTACTCGGATGCAAACCAGCTGTGACTCCTATTGATCCAAACCAAAAGCTTTCTTTAGATGATGGGAGCACTCCCACAGATACAACCAGGTATCAAAAACTGGTAGGGAAACTCATATATCTCTCTCACACACGGCCTGATATTGCTTTTGCAGTTAGGTTGGTGAGCCAGTTCATGCATTGTCCAAATGACACTCATCTTAAGGCTGTGTACAGAATATTACATTACCTAAAGGGAAGTCCGGGAAAAGGTATTTGGTTTGAAAAAAATGAGAGCAGGAAACTAGAAGTATTTACAGATGCTGATTGGGCAGGAAACATTAATGACCGAAGATCAACCACAGGATATTGTACTTTCCTGTGGGGTAACCTTGTCACATGGAGAAGCAAGAAACAAGATGTTGTATCATGCAGTAGTGCTGAATCAGAATACAGAGCCATGACTTCAGGTGTTTGTGAACTCATTTGGATAAGAAGAATCTTGAAGGAAATTAAAGAGGAGATTGAGCAACCCATGAAGCTGTTCTGTGACAATAAATCTGCTATAAATATAGCAAACAATCCTGTTCAACATGACCGTACGAAGCACATAGAGATTGACAGAAATTTCATTAAAGAAAAACTTGAAAGTGGAGAAATTTGCATGCCTTATATCTCTACTCAAGAGCAATTGGCAGATGTGCTTACAAAGGGTCTATTCAAATCAGCATTTAACGAACTTATCAGCAAGCTGGGCATGATTGATATCTTTGCACCAGCTTGAGGGGGAGTGTCGAATAACTATAGAATAGGTCAATTAGTTACACGTTGTTACTATAAATTAGGATTAAGTTGTAATTAATTATTGTAAATCTTATCCCTTCTTTGTAGGATCGGTTGTTGTATTGTATTATAAATATAACACTCAATGAAAGAAGTAGTCAGATCGGCTAATCATTTTAATCTTTAATCTTCTTAAATTGTGATTTCCCATTTATAATTTCAATGTTCATTTTCCTTTGATATTTGAATTATGAAATCTAGTTTATTCTAGAATGCTTGGTGCATATCTATTCCATCTGGTTCCCCTCCATTATGCTAATGTTCTTAAACATTTCTCTGAGATTCATGCTCTTTTGTTGTTCTTGCCGTGTATTATCTTCCAAAATCGATTTAGTAACTATCTACCAGTGATTTATACCCAGTTTCCACTGCATTCAGTTAAATCTTGTAGGGGTATGTTGCTCTGGAAGCAATGATGGAATTGATCCATATGTAGAGGTCTCGCTTCAGTCACTCCCAGAATATACCATTGCATCTGATGGAGTGACTATGAGTTGTATCACTTGCACTAACAGTGGTCAAATTTTTCTTGCTGGTCGTGATGGGCATATATATGGACTGCAATACACGACAGGGTCAGTGTGGCAGAAGCGTTGTCGTAAAGTTTGCTTAACTGCGGGGCTTGGAAGTGTTATTTCAAGGTATTTAATCCCCCGGCTCCCTACCGTAAAACATATAATAGTTTCCCCCTGCAGTACAGAATTTCAATCGGAAATTTGCTGAAGAGATATACCCCCAGCATCTGCAGTTTCTTCATTCCTATAAAAATTTGGAAAAAAATAAATTTATCATTTTGCTTGCGTTCTCAGTTCACATTGCTGTTTGCATTTTGTGCAGGTGGGTTGTACCAAATGTATTCAAATTTGGAGCAGTTGATGCCATTGTTGAAATGGTTGTTGATGACGAGAGGAACATCTTATATGCACGTACTGAAGAGATGAAACTTCAAATATTTTCAGTATGTCCAAATGGAGTTGGTCCCCTTAAGAAGGTAGCAGAGGAAAGAAATTTGATAAATCAGAGGGACCCCTATGTTGGAAGGCAGCAATCTGCATCAAGAACTCCTCGAGGCTCTAAAACATCCATTGTTGCCATCTCTCCTTTGTCCATCTTAGAGTCAAAGTGGCTACATGTTGTTGCCGTTCTGTCAGACGGCAGAAGACTGTACCTTTCTACATCATCTGGTGGTAACAGTAACTCTGCTGAAGGTCTTAGTAATCAGAAACCGAATTGTTTGAAAATTGTAGCTACTAGGCCAGCACCTCCTTTAGGGGCTGGTGGAGGGCTTGGCTTTGGGGCCTTATCTCTTGCCAGTAGATCTCAAACTGAGGATCTATCACTGAAGATAGAGTCTGCACATTACTCTATTGGGACTCTCGTCCTCTCCGATTCTTCTCCATCTACTGCGTCTTCTCTTCTTATTGTGAACAAAGATTCTAGTGCACAGTCAGCCTCAATTAGCTTTGGTTCTGGTGCAAGGGGTTCTCGTGCACTCCGGGAATCAGTATCGTCTCTACCAATTGAAGGAAGAATGCTGTTTGTGGCAGATGTTCCACCCCTGCCAGACACATCCACCACTGTTCAATCTCTATATTTACAAGCAGAGCTTGCTGGTGGATCTTGCGAAAAGAATTTTTCCAAAGTTTGGGCTAGGGGCGATCTTTCGACCCAGCATATATTACCAAGAAGAAGAGTTATAGTTTTCAGTACCATGGGCTTGATGGAAATAGTATTTAATCGGCCAGTTGACTTACTGAGGAGGATGCTAGAGTCCAACTCTCCTAGATCACTATTAGAGGATTTTTTCAACCGTTTTGGAGCTGGAGAGGCTGCAAGTATGTCTCTAATGCTTGCTGCAAAGATAATCTACAGTGATACCCTCATAAGTAATACTGTTGCTGAGAGGGCAGCTGAAGCTTTTGAGGATCCAAGACTTGTTGGGATACCACAACTAGAAGGCAATGGTGCATTCTCAAACACTAGAACTCCAGCTGGGGGATTTAGCATGGGCCAGGTTGTTCAAGAGGCCGAACCTATTTTTTCTGGTGCTTATGAAGGGCTGTGCTTGACTTCATCAAGGTTACTGGTACCTTTGTGGGAACTTCCTGTTTTTGTGGCGAATGGTAAAACGCCTTCCGCAATGGAACCTATAAATGGGTTCATTGTCTGCCGACTTTCCCCTGGCCCAATGCAGGTCCTTGAAGACAAGATCCGTTCTCTAGAGAAGTTCCTCAGGTCTAGGAGGAATCAGAGGAGAGGGCTCTATGGTTCTGTTGCTGGTCTGGGCGATTTAACTGGCTCAATTTTGATTGGCAGTGGTGAAGATCTGGACATTGGTGATAGAGGCATGATGTGGAATCTGTTTGGAGCTTATTCTCGCAATGCCGAGTCCAGTGATGCTGGATTATCAAATAAAAGGCAGCGGCTTCCTTATAGCCCTGCAGAACTTGCTGCCATGGAGGTGGGTGATAGTTTTTTGGTTTTGATCTTTTTTTTTTTTTGGCTTGTGATTTACAAAACCAACTTGTGCTTCAGGTGAGAGCAATGGAATGTATAAGGCAGCTGCTCCATAGATGCGGTGAAGCTCTATTTCTACTTCAGCTTCTTTCACAACATCACTTGACACGCTTAGCTCTCAATTTTGATGATAACATGAAGCATGCACTGGTTCATTTGACTTTCCATCAGCTAGTCTGCTCTGAAGAGGGTGATAAACTGGCCACGAGGCTTATATCTGCTCTGATGGAGGTAGTTCATCTGAACTTATAAATCAGATTGTTAACTTTTCAAAGAAACTTGTGGTTGCAATGGGTATAGTATTGCTATTTTTCCAAAAGAAGAAGAAAGAAAGAAGTATATTCACATCATCTGCAAGCTTACATGAGAAAAAAATGTTCTGTTGGTCCTTTAGTAATATTTTACCCATATTTATTCCTTTTCATTCATACCTTTTCAGCATTATACTGGTCCTGATGGTCGGGGAACAGTTGATGATATCAGTGCTAGGTTGCGTGATGGTTGTCCTAGTTATTATAAAGAATCAGATTACAAGTTTTTCTTAGCTGTTGAATGTCTTGAGAGAGCTGCTGCTTCTTCTGTCGCCGCAGAGAGGGAAAACCTTGCCAGAGAAGCCTTTAATTACCTAAGCAAAGTTCCAGAGTCTGCAGATTTACGAACTGTATGCAAACGTTTTGAAGATTTGAGGTCAAGATCTAGCATTGGATCTTTTGCTCTCTTTAAATCAATCCTTGGTCATTTATGTGAACTATCATGTTTTTATCTCAACATACTATGATAATTGCAGATACTATGAAGCTGTGGTCCGGTTACCTTTACAAAAGGCACAGGCTGTTGACCCTGCTGGTGATGCGTACAATGAACAAAGAGACCCTGTGATTCGAGGGCATGCACTTAGTCAGCGTGAGCAATGTTATGAGATTGTTGCTAATGCTTTGCGTGCTTTAAAAGATGAAGTGTTTCAAAGGGAATTCGGGTCTCCTATCAGGCCTGTTGCGCAATCTGTTCTCGACCAGGCCTCAAGGAAAAAATATATATGCCAGATTGTTCAACTTGGTGTTCAATCTCCTGACAGACTTTTTCACGAGTATTTGTACCGTAGATTAATTGATTTGGGGCTGGATGATGAACTGTTGGAATATGGAGGCCCTGATTTGGTGCCTTTTCTGCAAAGTTCTGGTCGTGAATCATTGCAAGAGGTCTTGATATATTCTACAAAACTCATTTTGGGATTCTTTCTGCATACATATTCCAGTTGTCTGTTTATTGCATTCATTTTCTCATCAATGTTGTCAGTGCCTTTTTATAACATAATTTTGATAAATTTATCATTTAGTGATTAATCTTTTTTCTTGTTTTGGTTCAGGCTGCCTCAGTGATTTTACCAATGTCTCCTCAGGGGCGCTCAGGAGTATCTATACCATCCAATCAAACAAAATATATTGAGCTCCTTGCTCGTTATTATGTCTTAAAGAAACAACATATTCTTGCAGCCCATGTTTTGGTAAGATTAGCGGAACGACACGCTTCACATGCAGGGGATGTGCCCTCACTTGAACAAAGGTTCCTCACTTCACTTATCTGGAAACTGTCCATCATTGAACTCTTCATGTTCTAAAATAGAAGTATGAAACTAGCCAGTGTTATTTTCATGACTTGAATAAGATTGCATCAGAACTAGGATCACGACTACAATTCATTAACTGCTCACCAGAGATTACTTATTGAGAACTTTAATGGAGTTCTCTACCCTTTTTTGGTGAGGGGGTGTCGAGATTTCCTTTGCTCAAACTTAAAGTTAAAACATTTAAACATGTTATCATTGTAAGAGGGGCTAGCTGGAGGATTTTTTTGTAGAGAAGTTTTATGTAGAAGATTCAGTTTCTTTTTCAGTGTATTGGTATTTTTTTGCATTCTAAAAAAAAGCACTTGTATATAGGAAATAATTGAGCCAAAGAAACTTCCTGTACCAAAGATAGTCTACCTTCTAAAGCTAAAGAGCTCACCTACTACATTGGTAGACTCAGGAGCATCCAAGACAAAAGAGAGGTAAGATACATCTTACAAGAACCCAAAGTGATGAAAGCAAAGACACAAACAGAAGCTCTCACAGTCCCCCAAAGCCCCTGATGATTTTACCTAAAAACACCCAATGCTTCAAAATTCAAAGGGGAAAGTTCCCGAAATAGGACTAAAACAGTTTTAAAATACGATGGGAGGCATTTCCCATTTTAGGCAATAGGCAGTCTTACACCTTTCCCATTTCAGGCATGATCTGCTCCGTTGATGTAGTCCAACTCTCCCGATTTTCTGCCAAAACCTTTAGTTGGGCATGCTCCTCCAACCCCAGTGGCTATGCCATCAACACTTTGGCCTGCATCTCCTCTTCTGGCTTCAGTGCCTGGGTTGAATTCCTCAAGTCAAGTGCATGGGCGACTTAGATAGCTCATAGTGATGAAGCTCATCGTGATGATATGAACAGAGGAGCAAGCAATTGATTTCACTAGTTACATTCATACTATATGTAAAGAAAAAATGGTGCACTGCCCATCATCATTAAAACCTTAACCCCAACTATGTTGGAGTATAAGTTGAGTGAAGTTTTGTTTCAATGAATAGCCTAAGCCCTTAAGTCAGTTGGCAATATATATTAATGCAAAAAGCACTACTAGCAATTTTTAATGCCGAATGCCCTTCTTGGCACAATGGCTGTTTTAAGAAAGGAGAATTTTTCAGAACCATCATCATCATCTGCTCTTCCACCTACATGGAAAATATCAATGAGACGAAAATGAATTGAAATAGTTGTCGCAGTCATGTTCAATTGTAACATGGTATAGGAAACTCAAAACACACATACTATAGAACATGACTGAGAACAAGAGTGGGTTTCTTAAACCTCCACAATAGGCAAATACTTTGTTTCTTTTTAGTAACAATCTTGTCCCTTTGTGCATCTTTACTTGTACTCTCACGTTAGACTATTATTGTCCAATGTCTAAGCAAATGGCCACAAATCACGAATCAACTTATGGTTCACACAAAGTTTTATATTAATGAAAACTGTTGTAAATTTGTCATACTTGCAATTAGAGGTTATAGGAACTACTGCAATATGAGATAGCTGTTTGACCTGGAAGTCACAAATATGCTACACATGAAAGTCTAAGCAAAAGCAATAAAGCAAGTATTTGTAAAACATGTAAACTAGCAACATCTTACATTTTCCGGTACATCTTCTTAGATGGATTTTCCTGTTATTCATTTTTTTGTCAATGCCAGGCGCCAGTACTTGAGTAATGCAGTCCTACAAGCCAAGAGCGCCAGTGAAACTAATGGTCTTAATGATTCTGCCCGGAATGGTCTTGACAATGGATTGTTGGATTTGCTCCAAGGGAAGCTAGCAGTGCTGCAATTTCAAATTAAGATTAAGGAGCAACTGGATGCTATGGCTTCCAGATTGGAAGCCTCTGCGAGTACATCTGAAGAGGCTCAACCTGTTGATGACAATTTTTTACGCTCTTTGAAAGAAAAGATCAAGGAGTTATCGTTGGATTTGAAGAGTATCACCCAACTGTATAATGACTATGCTATGCCCTTTGAACTATGGGAGGTAAGCAAACTGCTAGTGGCCCCTTTTATGTTATTGTTCTCCTGTTCTTGAAATTTTCTCCATCTGCCCACTATTTAGTTTCAATTTAGTTATGCATCCGACATAAATTGTTGTGCTTTAGCCTTTAAGTCTTGAATTGGAGTGTCTTTGTACAACCACATTTTTGTAGAGATTGTTAACGGTATAACACGCTTGTAAATATGTGTAGGTAACTGTTTTCAAGTCTTTATGAACGTATCATCGCTTCAGTGATACAATCTTTCACATCAAAAGTGTTTTAGCTTCTCTGTATAATGCAAATCAATAATAAGAGGAAGCAATTATTTATAATTTATGATTGAAATAGAAATTTAATAAAATATTACTTGCCTACACCTCACATAAGTGCCTGTTTGGTTGGGGTGTTGAGGAGGGTTAGTAATGGAAGTGTTGAAGAGTGTTGACTTTAACACTTGTTTGGGAGATAAATTTAAAAAAATTGAGGTGTGAGTACGTAGTAACGGTTTGGGAGTGTTAATCGTACCCTTCCCAACACTCTTAACTTGTCCTTTTTAACACCCCAATTTGGGGTGTATTGATGTGTTGGACAAATTTTACCCTTCACCCACAACCCTATGCAATAATCTCCTCCATCTGCCTCTTCTCTCCGTACATCTCCTGGGCTTCACTGTTTCAGCTCACCTTCTTCTCTCAACTCTTTTTTATGAGCCGACCTTGCAAGATTACATGCAAAGACACAATCGGATTCAGAACGTAGAAGACCAACAAAGCTATTCTCGAATATTATGATGATGAGGTTGAGTAGAACATCGATCTCACATAAATGGTGGTCATATAAAAACGAGCAACATTTTCACAAAATATACCTCCAGAAAAGTGATAAAAGCAAAGGGTAATGGTTTTCATTGAAAAAAATCTGCCACATGGCTGGCTTCATTTTAGTCTATGCAATTATTGACATGCATCTTCTTCAGCTAGTCTTCTGTGGTAGGTTCTTTTGCACTGAAAGATTATTTATATATGAAGTATATATGTAAGTATATGAGTGGGAAAAGATGAATTAATATATGGATATAAAACATGTACGGAGTATAATTCATTTTGAAAGGTAAGGGGATATTTTTGTCAATTTCAATGAATACACTTCTTTTAATAACACTTCATCTTTTTAACTCTCCCAAACAAGGTAAGTTTATATTTTACACTTACACTTACCTTCCCTTCCCTTCCGAACACTTACTAACACTTCCATTAGTAACCCCTTTCAACACTCCATCCAAAGTATGGAAAACGAAGACATGTTAAGGAACCCTTTCCATACTTGAGTATAATACGTAGTATAAAGGCATTTGATTTATATGGTAAAAAAGAAGTTAATGCAGGAATAACTATCATGGGTAAACTGGGATAATGTGAATATTAAAAAGCAAGTGCTGACTTTCTAAAGTGATAAGATTTGGGTGCAAAAAACTTCAGCATAAATGTCTGGTATTCCCTTGGCAATTTGAATTCATGCTACTTTTCTGCTTACAGATATGTCTGGAAATGTTATACTTTGCAAGCTATTCTGGTGAAGCTGATAGTAGCATTGCACGTGAGACTTGGGCTAGGCTCATTGATCAAGCCCTCTCAGGTGGCGGCATTGCTGAAGCTTGTGCTGTATTAAAGAGGGTTGGTTCAAACATATATCCTGGAGATGGAGCTGTGTTACCTCTGGATACTCTTTGTTTGCACTTAGAAAAGGCTGCACTGGTATGGAACCGTTTTTTCCCAATCTCCCCCTTCCCCAAAATCTCTCCATGTTTTCAACTACCAAGGCTCTCTTTTCAAATCTTGCTTGAAATATTGTTTAAGCTACTAAGGATTCGCATGGTGACATTTTATGTTTTCTGTATGTTTTTTCCATTCGTTTCTACTTTCTAGAATATATTCATATTTGGTCTACATGTTATGTATATATGATGTAATTTTAGAAAATATATACTACCTCCGTCCCAAAATTAACTTCCCATTTCGGATTACGATGCTTGACCGACGATAAAGCAACTCGATCCCTGTTCATACTCAGATTACTTTTAGTAAATAAAATTTACATATTGAGAAACTACATTAAAACTGCTACAAAGGCTGATAAAAAAATTTGATAAAAATTTGATATATAAAACATAAGATTAAGAGTAATTTAAGTTGACCATGTGAATAGTGACCGTGAAGTTCATTTTGGGATGGAGGGAGTACTTCTGTCCCTAACTGAATTAGCTCCCAGATCCGTCTCAAAGTCATCTTCCCATTTCCATGTAAGCATGGTTGTTAAAATCACATGAAGGATCATAATATCATAGTTATCTTATGATTGGAGGAGTAAGTGATCTAGATCGCTGCTAGTACCGAAGAAACCGGCTGACAACTATGATCGTCATGCTGGACTGTTGGATTGCCAATTTGATCTAGGAATATGCTAACCATATTCCAATCCAAGACGGACCATGTCTTATCAGCCTAGATTCAATAATCAATAAATTAAAAAACACAATAGGACTTTCAAACTTACAATGTGTCGAACCTCCAGACTGCACACCTTTTCAGCTGTCACGATTCTAATTCTTCATGAACTGATATCGTTCTTCTCTTAATGTTCTCCTCACTTCACTTCGTCTCTCTGATTTCTTCTCAGTCAGTAGAAGGCTGCCTACTCTCAACACTATTTCGTCCTAGTAAAATTTGTATCTAGTATTTTCTTTTTCTATATAAATATACTACACTAGTATGATCTCCCTCTGTCCCATAAAACTTGGCCAAGTTTGAGTGACATGTGGAATAAGAAAATAAAAATTGTGTGGTTGAGGTTTGTGCAAAGGAGAGACATATAATATTAACCACAAATTGATTGCTTTAGTAGGAAAGTGGGAAAAATTATTAAGACAAGCAATTAAGGCAAGTTGGCAAAGGTTAGTCAGATTGTGGAGTATTTACTCCTTCAGCCTTCTCATTTGTTATTAATTTTATACTATTTTATTATTATTCTACAGAGTAATTACTCGTTTCAGTGTTTTTATGCTTATGCAATAATTTTAGTATTCTATTAGTATCTGCTTGTATGTTGCAATTCTTTATTTTTTAAATAGTTACAAATTACAACTGAGCGTGACCTAATTTTAAATTCAAGATGCTCTATATGGTATCGTTTATAAACATTACATATTACTTAGCCTAGGATTTTACGATCCATGAGTAATGACCCCCTCCCAATTCTAGTATTCTACCTGGGATCTCGAAAATAACAACCATGCTTGTGACTTGTGAGTAAAGAATCGTGTGGTTGATAGTTTTATTTCATTCTAAATGAATCTCAACAACAATTCGTTTGTTAATAATTGTGCCAAAAGCAAATGTGAAGCAGATTTGGGGTCAGTGGGAGTATATTTTAATGAAATTCTAATTGGTGATGAACAATGTCAAAAACCAGAAATTTACGAAACAATGAAAGCATAAAAAAATCTCAACAATTTTCAAAGTTCTGCTTTTTTTTCCGAATAGTTTTTGTTTAAGGTGAATCACAAAGAGGTAACATAAAACAAAAACATTAGGCCTCGTTCGACATACTCTTCTGTGTTCTATGTTCTTAACCAGAAAATGTCCTTGCAGTTTTTTGTTTCCAAAATTAACATGGAACATGGTTCATGTAAGTATGTACTCTGTATGCTTTAGCTAATTATACAGCTCATACCAGATTCCTTTTAACAATCATAAGACAAAAAACTTAAAACTGGCAGTGATACCAAACATCTTACCAAATGAGCCTGCACTGTTCTATTGAAGCTTCATTTATATGGTTTATGCATAGTAAAATTTCTGTTTCGTCTATAACTTCGCTGATTAGTTTTTGATAGTTATTTGCATCACATTTTAGTTGATTAGTTTTTTTGAGTATATTTGTTTGTATCCCTTTAGGAGCGAGTTGCTAGAGGTGTTGAAACTGCTGGGGATGAAGATGTTCCAAGGGCCCTTATAGCTGCATGCAAGGGTGCAATTGAGCCAGTATTCAATACATATGACCAATTGTTATCAAGTGGTGCAATATTGTCAACTCCAAATCTTAGATTACGTCTTCTTCGGTCAGTACTAGTGGTGCTTCGTGAATGGACGCTTTCTGTTTTTGCCCAGAGAATGGATACAAGTATAGTCGGGGCTTCTCTAATTCTTCGTGGAACTTTGTCCTTGGGACAGACTGCGGGTTTTAGTCGAGGTGTACGTGACAAGATAACAAGTGCAGCAAATAGGTTTGTTTCCTCATACTTTACAGTTAATCACTAGTTCATTTTTACATTGTTTTGTTGATATTTATGTAGTACGGAGTATAATTAATTGTAGAAGCTATGAACATTTCTGTTTTATTTGTATTATTTTGTAATCCTACATAAAAAATTCCCAATTTTGATCCCAAACTGTTAGGCTGACTATTTGTTGTGTTTCTGCTTCTTTTTTAAAGTAGAAATAGAACCAACATCAATTTTGGAGCTAAAAAACTGCTTCTATGAGCATTTTGGAGCCCTCAAAAGTGCTTATGCACTTTTACCCAAACACTCCAATATTTGCTTTTAAAGGAGCACAAACAGTTTTAACAAGTAGATCCAAGCACGCCCTTCATCACTTTTGTCGGATGACTTAGAATTTCATGCCCTGTTATGGTTTTTTCCGGTGACGATCAACAAAAGTCAACCGTAAATTGGAATAGGAAATTGGCTGAATAAGAACAAAGAATTGGCAAGAGATTCATAGTTGTGTACCAAGGTGGAAAATGGAACGGGAACTAAAAGTGAGGATGACCTTACAATATTGGCACCAAAAGTGGGAAATTTTTCTTTCTGAAAATTCCAGGAAATGCAAATTTATTTGCAATGTCGTGATTTTTATATTACCCTCATTTCATAATTTAATATATTTGGCAAGTTGTTCCGAGGAAGTAAAAATTTGTTATTTAACTTATTTTGACCAGGTATATGACTGAGGTAAGAAGATTATCTCTCCCACAAGTTCAAACAGAAGCTGTCTACCGCGGTTTCCGAGAGCTCGAAGAGTCACTCTTAAATCCAGCTCCGTTTTAGCGGTTCTGTTAGTTCGTGACAGGTTTCTTTGTATTCACTTCATTAAGATTCTTTTTCTGCACATCAATTTGCCTATACAAGCGTCTTTGGCCTTCTATAAAAATCAGAATCCCCAATTTTACTTTTACTTGGCTCAACTACTTCATCTAAATCTTTCTTCTAAAAACTCCATCCCTAGGCCCTCCTATGCTCCGACACCCCCCCACTCAAGCTACTCAAGCTTGAAAGCCTGTTGCCTTTTTAGTGTCTAGTGCATTGTAGAATGTTGTTCTTAGTGTAACAATTTTTTCTAGAATATTAATCTAAATTTAGCAGTTGAAATGGAAATACTGAATAATTAGTGCTATACTCTTGCTTTATATTTACTCATTAGTCATCACTCTTGAAAAGTGGAATTGCAGTTGAATATTACTGACCCATTTACCTACCTGGTTAACATTCCTGAGCTCTAGAAATGCTGTTACTCTTAGAATTTACGGGGTAATATTGGTCATCCTTTCCTACCATAAAAGCCAATCATGTTAATATACATTTATTTGAATCTATCTTCACGACATTGTTTTTTAGTTATGTGCGAGCAGGAAAGTTCCCCAGTATAATGATGTATGATGTGTTATTACTGTTGTCATTGCTGTGATACTGCAATTTGGGCATTTTATTATGTGTAGGATACTAGGACTATATTATACATTGATATATAAATTTTCTTCTGATCTGTTATTTTGTAAACAGTTTTGTAACGTTTTTCTGGACCTTGTTCATGGATTGTCTTCTGTTTTTCGTTTTATGATTGTTTAAAACAAAACAAAATTTTGAAAATGAGAAAGTTGTAGGCAAAATTTTGGTATTAGCATAAGTACATAAAGTCTATGAATGTCATTGCATTTTTAGCTCTTTATACAATATCGCATGCCATGTAGAATAAATCCTAGTTTTCATTGTCTGTGTTTGCCTTATTTAAAACCAGAGTTTGACGATACTGCTTTTATTTTTCAAAGACTTGACAAAAAATAATGTTTTTTTTAATTATTCCAAACACGAATTTCTTGTTTTGTTTGTTTTAGTTCTGAGAACATATTTTCCATATTGCTGCGATTTTCGTATTTGGAAGTAAATAATTTTCAATCTTTGCTCAGTCGTTGAGGTGAGTTTTCTCGCACTTAAAATTAGCAGTATAGGGTATAAGTGCGGGTATCGTCTCCCCACTCCCCAGAGATGGAAAAAATCGAGAATTAAATAAATTCAACGATTAAAATAAATAAATAAATAAATAAAATGCGATCATGCGAGATTTGGATATTTTTTTTTGGAAAATTAATTAATGCAATAAAACAATTAAACTAATGGGTTCTTTCTAATTCATGATGATAGAGAATAGAGATTGATTCCGTATAATATTTATATTGTTGTTCACAAGTTTTTTTTTTGTTTCATCACATCTAATATTATAACTCTTGTGTATGCTGGGTGTAAAAGATGTTTCGAGCTATCAATTTGTATTGGGATGTGTTGCCTTCCTCCCTATAAACCCTCTCTCTAAATAAAGTCTCATTTCTGGTTTAGAAATGAATTTCTATTAATTTACTCTTCTGATAATAACATTATTACAACGCCAAATTGGGTTAAGCATTGCCAACCAGGCACTTCACAGTAAAAGTTATTCTCAATGCAAAGGCATTTTAGAAAGTCAAATAAAAGTAATATTGTCCTGAAAAGAAGTAAAAATGTTTTAAAATTCTATAATATGACTTTTATTTTTTATTCCCAATAATTTGTGTCAAATTTTAAAAAAAATATCATGTTTAAAGTCAGGTAAGGAATTCGATTCAACTCAATACAACTGTGGTATAAAAAAATTATTCTACTCAATTCAAATAAAAAAATACATGTGGGATGGGGCCTGTCATCAGAATGTGTAAAGCACACCAAGTCCAAATAGGTATTCCGGGCAAGGGTTGTTAAAGCCTTTGAGATGCCAGCACATTCAAAGGGAGGGTGATACTCGATTGTTCTTCCATGATCAAGAGGAAACCCTAGCGAGCGGCTAATCCGTGCGGCGAAGTCTGATAGCTTACCTTGCGATAGGCTTCTAGGACCTTGCCCGAGAGCTGACTGTGCATGTAGTGCAGCGATCAATGATGGATGAACAATAGAGTGCGACAGAGATCTGATCTTCCTAGAAGAGTGCGGCAGACGGGCTGTCTCTTCTTCCATCTAAGCAACGAATGTGGATGATATCTGTGGTAGTTTTGGGCTTTGGCGATATCTTTTCATCGCATGTGATTTCTTTTCCGAGTGATTTTCTAGCTCAATTTTTGTTTTTTTTTGGCTGAGTTTTTCTCTGTCTGAGGGTTTGGTCTGATCCGTTCCAATTGTGAACGTGTTTGTACTTTTGTTCGTGAATTCTGCTGCTTCTTTTTCTCTCAGACAATCATATGTCTGTGTTACCTGGGCCGGTCCCGGGTCCACCATTTCTGACCCGCCGGCCCGGACCCGAGTCCATCCATAGATACATAGTTCTTTTTGTTGGGCACTAATGGAGAGCTTAAATCAAACTTAAATCAGACTTATGATTGGATCTGGGCTGGGCCGGGCCGGGCCTCCGGTTTGGATTTTTTTTTTTGCTTTCCTAACCCCCCCTCACCCCCCAAACTCATCCTACCCATCAAGCCCAACCCGGGTGGAACCCCAAAAATGAAAAAAAAAATAAAAAAAATTCAATTTGGCCCGGGCCCGGGCCCGACCCGGCCGGGCCGGTTCACCAAAATTGAGACCCGAGCCCGGACCCACCCTACCTCCCGGGCCTAGGCCCGACCCGGACCCGGACCCGAGAACCGGGCCGGTCCCGGTCCCGCACAGTAGCGGGCCGGGTGGCCCGACCCGAGTCCAAGCCTAGGTTGATGGCATGTGATAAAAAAACGTCAAGGCGGCGGCGCTCCCAGAACAGCACCGCCTAAAATACCGAGAGGTCCCGAAAGCGAGATGATTCCTTTGGAGGTGGTTGGTCGAACATCTTCTCCCTTCCCGGTGGTCGGTAAAACCGAGATGCTTGAATTATTTCGTTATTTTTTTTAAAGAATTCTTATTTAGTTACCTACAATTTTAGTAGCAAGTTTAACGATGCTGTTAGATTAGTCTACCATGATGCAGTGTCAGCGATTTTGACGGTCTTTTGAGGCTAGTTAATTCTATATCTTATCTCAGTGTAGCCTTGAGTTATTGTATTGTTTTGCCCCTTGTTATTCTCATTTTTAATAATAATTAAGTTTTCTTTCTTTCAAAAAAAGCCGCAAACTTGGCAGAAATGAACCCCCTGTTTAGAGAATAAATCACAGTTGAAGTGAAAACGTTCTAACAATAGTAGATTGAACCATAGGTAGTTTTGTTCACAATTTAACGGTTATAAAAAATTGACCAAAAGACACTAAAATATGTCAAAGCATGTCCAGATTGACATAGACTAATACAAGCTGATCACAATTGACTAGCTTGATTTTTTGTTTACATTTCTCAAAACTAAACCGATCAAAATCTATTTGGTGACGTTAAACTAACCAAGCTGACTATCATGGTTGTTGATTTGTTTGCAATCGTAAAACATAACCACTTGAGCATTGTTTTTCTTTTGTTTGAGGATGTTAAATGTTAATTAGTCAAAAAAAAGTTACTAGTTGGAGGATTGTTTTTCTTTTTGTTTGAGAATGTTAATTATTCAAAAAAAAAAGTTACTAGTTGGAGGAAAAAGAATTAATCCCCCATTCTTCTATATTTGATTCATTTACCTTTTCCATTCGTCCCATTAACGCATTGAGATGGTTCTATTTTAATAGTTGTAATAAATTCTTGTACTTTATTCATACTCTATTAGTTTAGTATTTAGGCATACAATTTCATTTTTCAATAATTGCACTACTCTTTTTTGTCTCAGTCTTAGATGGACAGATGTAATTTTTTTGGGCAAAGCTTTCTAGCCTATTATAATATATGTTCTGTTAAGGCTAACATTCTTAAACTGGGATGAGATTTGAACATGTTAACCCCTTTTTGGAAGTTTTACAGTGATGGAAAGATGTAATATTAAATATAATATTATTAATAGAATATGAAGATGATGAAGTTGTAACTAATCACTGAAATACTATTTACTTCTAAAATAATGTTGTTAGAACTTAGAAATGCTGACGTGACAAGTTGAATCATAAGAACAACTAGCTAATCATTGAAGATGTTTCTAATTACAATTTTCAAAATTAAATTTAAAACTGACAAAACTGACCGGAAACATCCTCGGAGAATACGACGGCTACAAATTTTTTCACCATGTCAAGTCAATAAATCAAATTTCTCACTAGTTCATATGTATTTACTCAATCAATTGAGTGTTTTCTTACAATACAGCGTTGTCAACCACTACAAAAAATAAAGGGGGTTGTCACGGACTTTGTCACGGGCGGTAGTTCAAAAAATCCGTGACAACACATTTTTGTCACAGATTTTGTCACGGATAAGATCTGTGGCAAAATGGACGTGGTAAATCCGTGACAAAATTTCTTAGTGACAAATTACAAAAATCCATGACAACAGTCGTGACAACTTTGTCACGGACCGTATCCGTGACAAAAATCCATGACAAACGGGGTGTTTTTTTCGTAGTGAACGTATTAACCCAACAAAATTTTATACGGAGTATTAGTAAAGCTTTACTTTTATTATTGTGCATCAAGTTTTATCCAAATTCTTTTTTGCGAATAATTATGATTTAAAAAGATAAACATTCCGTTGTAAACATATACTCTCTCCGTCCCCCAATTAAGTTCTCGGTTTGACTTCACACATATTAAGAAAATAAATTTGACTTTACTGTGGAGTGCACCGTTTTGCACTGTTTGGACACTGTTTGACACTGTTTGGCACTGTTTTGCACTGTTTTGATGTAGATAATTTGCCAAATAAGGAAAGTAAGGAAGTGTGAACTTAATTTAGGGACTGTCCAAAAAAGAAAGTGATAACTTAATTGCGGGACGGAGGGAGTATAAATTTGGAGTTTAATTTTTTGCTCTTACTTTAGACCCATTTTTGGTAAAAAATGAAAGATGTAAAAAAAATTGAAGTATGAGATCTTTTTTTTGGAAAGGAAATGACTTAATTATTATTGATAAAGTTAACTAGGACAAGTACAATCATATAGCTCAAGGCTACAATGAAGTAGACTCCACCTGTAGATTAACTGCTCCTACTACAATCACAATATTTCTCAAACAAATTATTGAACATCCCGGTTTGTCCAGCCATCGGTAAGGAGTCAAGCTTAGAATTTGTTTCACTTGCACCAGTCATCGGAAAGAAAGCACTCCACGCAATCTCATCTTTCTCAAACAACGATGGTTCAGGAGGGGGCGATCCGTCTCAATATTGGTGCATAAGAAAATCATATTCGGGATTGGTGATGAGATCAATGCAAACCTCTTATTAACACATAAGTACGCCCGATCGAATATGTCAGAGAATAAACATTTGACAAATTACACTTCGTCACTGACAATAATATCTCTAGACAACGATAGAAAGAAACATATAGATAAAATTGAAAATACTGATTAAGAAGATATTTTTCCACTATTGAATCAAAGAAGATTGAAAGAAGAGAAAAAAAGAACAGAAAAGGAGGCAACAACTAAGGTTTCCCCATGGCCGCTCCTCTCTATAACACAAAATTAGTTAATACATCATGAGATCTTAACTTTAGCACTTGAATTTGCTTAA